GACTGGCCTGCTCCCTCCTCCCAGCTGAGACCCATCCTCCTCTGGAAGGAAGGAGTCCTCTCCTCAGGCTACTACAGCTGAGCTTTGCTGAGGCTCAAAGGTGCAAACAGACCTTCCACCCTCTGTTACCCACGTGGCTGGCAGATGCAGGCAACTGGGAACAGAGTGGAGAGAGCAGATGACAGCAGAAACAGCTCGGGGGGGAGGGCCGTGTCTGCAGCTTCTGTCCACCGCCCCCGCCTTTCAATCCACTCCAGTGCTTCCCAGTCATTCTTGAACAGGTGAGGAGATAAGCTTAAGAAACAGGACAGAAGGACTGGAGAGATGCTTAGTGTTTAAGAACACTGGTTTCTCTCCCAGAGGACCAGAGTTCGACTCCCAGCATCAACATGGCAGCTCATTTTATCTGTAATTTCAGCCCCAAGGGATCCAATGCCCTCATCTAGCCCGCATGCAGGCCGTGCACAGACATGCAGACAAAATACCCCCACACATAAAAATTAAATGAAATAATAATTTAAGAACTTAAAAAGTAGAGTTCTCATAGTGACATTAGGGTCAGGAGGCCCTTGGTTGTGGGGTCACTCTGCCACTGCAGGACATTAAGCAGCATCCCTGTCCCCCCAGCGAAGAATCACTAGGTGGGATGATTTGTTTCCAGAGCAGGAAGAGCAGAGGCCCAGAGCACAAGAGCCCCGCCCCCCCCCACACACACACACCTGCGGGAGTCTTGTGCCCTCTCCTACCTCACCTCCCTTCCCCGCAAAGGATGTACCACAGACAGACAACTTTTGCCTGACGTACAAACCCCAAGGGGAATAGAAAAGTGGTGTTTGTGGAATGGAAAAGAGTGCTTTAGTAAGAAAAGGCACAGCTGTATAAGAGGTGGGGACAGGATGAAGGGAGGACGGGACCCAGGCTAAGCCTTGTGGGGGAACTCTGTATGGGTTGGCTAGGGCATGGGAGAGAAGACATAGGCCCCAGGGCCACTGGGAAGATTTGAATCTGACACAAAAATCAGGCTCAGAGGGCTGATCAGGGCTGGGCCCCACCCACAAAGAGATGGAAAGGAACCTCCCTAACGGGACTCAACTGAACAGTGGGGGGGGGGGGCTCTGACAAGAAGGAGGGTCCGGTCCTCCCCCGGCCCCCACAGGCACTTCTGACACCTGGCCTGCAAAAAAGCTGTCACCATAGGTCAGACCTGACCACAAAGAGCGGTCCCAGGGACACAATGCCAGTTGGAATTAAGAGAACGGGGACAGGGGCAGGCCCCCACACGGAGGGAGCCCAGGCTAGGCTCTAAGTCCTCCACTTAGAAGTTACGGTTACAATTTCTCCTGAAGATGGCTAATTACCGCACAGGCCATTGTTCTCACTCAGCCAAGTGGAAAATTGCTCAGAGCTTTCACACTCCCACACCCCAGGAAACCTGGCTCTGGAGACAGCCAGAAACTGCAATCTGCAAGTCACTGGTTATTCTTATCCTATGCAGTGTGACTCTGTGGTCACATGGCTGCCCCACAGCCTACCTGTGAGAATGCCAACAGCACCTGCGTGTAGGAGGGCGTGCCCAGGCTCCCGCGTGGAAGCTCTGGTGGGCAGTTAGCAGAGTCACACGGAAGCAGGTGGTCTGTCCTGAGGAACGAGGTGGCACAGATATAGAAAGAAATTGCTGACTCTCCCCAGGGGCTGTGAGATAGTGCTCCCTTCTGGGTTCCCAGAGTTCAACACACAGGTCTTTTATTCAGTGATGGGAAAGAGCCTGTTCTTATTTCCCCCCAGGAACGCTGAGCGGTGGCTGTGCTCTAAGCTCAAGGCTCCTGTTGGATCTCGGAAAGGTAAAAATGAAAGAAGCGAACTCAGGAACTCAGCAGAGGGAGCAAATGCGGGCGGTCCTGCCTTGCTAACGGGCTTCTGAACTGTAGAACTCCACCCCACCCCCACCGCGCCTCCCAAACCCAGAATGATTCAAATTCATAAAGGTAGGCCATGTCTGTAATCCTGGAGCTCAGGTGGCTGAAGCCCGCCTGCCTGGGTCACTTAGAAATAATCTATCTTAAAAGGATTAAAAAAAAAATCAATGTGAGAAAGGTTGGGTTAGTAAATTCTTCATTTTTGTTTGTTTGCTGGCTTGCTTTTTTTCTATCGCCATTATTTTAGAGCGCAGAGGAAAAGAAACTGGAAGTTACATTAATTACTTAGTCTCTATGGACGCAGGTGCTCAGTGGCTACAATTGGGGCCTCTCTAGGATGCAGTGGAGACACACTACCAGCAGAGGGCGCTTAAGGCCCAGCCAGGGAGCAAGGCCACCAGCTGGAGAAAAGACAAGAGCTTGGGAGATCCAGGCCTCAGCACACTGGACCAGGGTGATCCGAAAGCCCTTGGTCTGAGCCCCCGCTTGCCCAACCCCAGGAGCCACCTGTTAACAGATGATGGAACGTGCTGGCAATGCCCACAGAGAGCAACCAGAAGCAAGCACAGGCTGGCAAGTGGGCAGCCCTTTCCCTAACAGTACACCCAAGCCAAGCCGAAGCCTGCCAAGGTTGACGAGAGTGTGTAAGAGGCCTCAGGAAGCCCCCACCTCTTTTTCTATTAGGCTACCCCTTGGCAATTCATAATGAAATCACGTATTGAGTAAGTAGGGGTAAGCAGCTTTAGCCTGGCCTCTTGGGGCAGTTCTGTGCTGGGCTTCAGGGGCAGGAGCTATTTGCTGCACTGAAAGCGGCGGGTAAGGGCAAGGCCGAGGTTTTCATCAGTACTCACTCAGACTCTGAGTCTCAACCAGTGGGTCACGACTCCTTTGGGGGCCGCATATCAGATATTCACATTACGATTCATAACAGTAGCAAAATTACAGTTATGAAGTAGCAACAAAAATAATTGTATGGTTGAGGGGGTCACCACAACACGAGGAACTGTATTAAAGGGTCACAGCAGTGTGAAGGTTGAGAACCACTGGCTCGGAGTCTTCTAGAGGCTGAGAGCCTGGGGGATGTGACAGCCGGACGGTGGCAGGGAGCCTGTGTTATCTGGTCCCCGTGGGCAGCCTGTGGCTTCTCCTGCCCTGAGATCTAGTGACAAAGTCCCGAAGAACGTAAGAACAGGAATACGCTCTGACAGCCGCCATGTAGGAGGGCACCTGCCCGTCCCTACACCATGCAGACAAGCAGTCCGATCACTCTCGTTCAGTGCCCTGGGGCCGGCCATGTGCCTGCAGGCAGTCCTACAGACATATGCCATCAGTGAGGCCTGCCTTCTGCAGGGCAAGCAGCTGACTCACGGGCACAGAGCAACACGTCTGGCACCTTCTCCCCTAGAACAAGCTGGGGTTGCATCCTCCTTGGTAGATGTGGGGAGCACAGGCAGAGCCCCCCTCTCTTCACTCAGGGCAGCTGGATGCCCGTTCACACAAGGCAGCCCTTGGCCCTCAGCCATCTTCCAAAGCCCAGTCACCTCCCCCAGGCCCTGACTGCCTACGCTCACAACCACCCTAGCTATGACTTGGTCCGTCCCCACAGTCATTGTTGAGCACAAAATGGCTTCTGTGCGCTCATCCCACCTTCTGCCCACCGCGGCATAAGGCGAGGCTTACTGAGGCTGGATCTTTCCTGACTAAAACAATACTATATAAAAAAATAATAATCATTTATTTACCAGTCGTAAAATGGTCTGTGGCCCATGAACAGTGAAAGCTGGGCTGAGGAGCTGGGAAGAGGCCAGATCAGGAATCCAGTATTCTCCCCTTCTCTTATTCTGCTAAAGATCAGAAAAGCTCTTGCCGCAGCCTGGGGACTCTATTCAGAGGCTTCCTGCGGCCCAATCCTGCACCTGGTCCAGGGACCGCAAGCCTGGTGTCTAATCTGAGGCATGTGGGCATTGGGGTGGCTGGCATTGGGCCTGTGGGCATCTCTTCTGTTAGCCTACTCTTCAACCTACCCAGGGTCTAATGCTGCCCGGGGCCTAGAAATCTCCACAGCATTGATAAGCCTGCCTAGCCTGCCTTCCCCGCACCCGCCTCTTGCCCGCCTTGTAGGCCATCCAAGCCTCTCCATAAATCCAGGCTGTTAGCGCACTTACAGGCAAGTGAAGGCCGGGCTGAGAGAAAACGTCTGCTGTTCTCACTCTTTCCTTCGTGTCTGTCCAACAGTCCCTGCTCCCTTGCCAGATATGAGGTGAAGCACAATATGGCGACAGGCTCCCTAAGCCCCTTCTTAACCCACCAACACCCTAGGGCTCCTGTTCAGGAGGGAAGTGGCCTGTATAGGTAAGGTCTCAGACTGAAGCAGCCTGCCCTTCCCGGAAAGGAAGACCACCTGCTTCAGCACAAAGACGTCTTCTTTAGAGTGCTGGGCGGCCATCTGCCTGCGGCCATCTTTCCTGGGACCCTGAGTCTCAGCATTTGGAATGCGGCCAAGGCCTCCCGACTCTGGACCTGGGAGAGCGTCCACATCTTTCCCTGCTTCTTCCAGCTAATATCCTCCTCCTTCGCCCCGGTCCAGTTCACACTGCTCACCCTTCTCTCCACACCGATGCCTGTTTACACAGACACTGAGGCCTGCAGCAGCCCCTCCCCACAAGGATTCATCCCCAAATCCAGTGTAACAGGTGAGGGTCATGGCCTTTTCTGTCTTCTCTCCAGTCCTGGCAAACCCCCCGCCCCACCCTCTGGGACAGCAGAAGGAGCATGCCGAGCACTCTAGTGGCGATCCCACCGCACTGGCAGATCTACTGAAAAGAGCCCCCAAGCTCCACGGGAGAAGAGATAGAGGGTGAAGAAAGAGGCAGAAAATCTGGGTGTGGTGGCACAGGCCGGCAACCCCAACGTTCAGGAGACTAAGGCAGGAGGATCACGTGTTTGAGGCCAGCCTGGGATATATAGCAAGGCTCTGCAGGAAGCAGCAGAAAAAAACGGCAACATACTAAAACCAGGGCAAGTCACGCAGGGCTCTGAGCTCTGAACATGTGCAACTCATCGGAAAATACTGGAAACACTCACCAATTGGGCTGGCCACGCAGGCACGCAAACGCCTTCCTTCCGGTGATTGACAGTGGGGAGTTTCCTCTGGAGGTGCGGAAGAGCCCGTGCAGGAAGCAGGAGCTACTACGCTTGTAGTCCACGTGTCCTACCCGGAGTTAGGACTTCTCCTCTGTGTCGGCACTTAACCCTCTGTGACCCTGTGAGCTGTAGGTAGTGCTGTAGCTATTTTGCCAATGAAGAATTGGATTAATTGGTTAGGGTGAAAATTTGATTTGCAACTTAAAAAAATATATATATATCTTTTATTACAGTAACACATACACATAGGTGCACATGGACCCACTCACCATGGCACATCTGGATTCAGAGGACAACCGTGGGTTCCACCATGTGGGTTCCAGGGTCACACTGAGGTCATGGGGGTTGGCAGCAAGCACCTTCACTTGCTGGTTCTAACAGCCTTTCCTTTCGTGTCCCCAGCAGCCGCCAGCTTCTGGGTGTGGCCCCATTCTCCTAAGAGGGGACCGGAGCCATACAACCACTGGTTAAAGTTGGGCTGCTGTGCTCAGCCTCAGAGGCCACTGCCACGTGAGGTCTACCCCAGCCTGTCCACACAGACTCTGGCCCCTCTGCTTTGGCCTGGCCGGGCCCAGCTGCAGAGGAAGCTTCCTTCTCCAGGACTCCTCCTGGGAGACCGCGAACCTCATCCCTGCAGGCCGAGGTTGCCTTGTTTGTTTCATCCATGCAGAGAGGAATGATGAGGGTCAGTGCTATTCAGGGTTTGTTTTCCAGAGGCTGGAGGCCAAGGCACTGTGCTGGACTGGAACACAGAGGCTTCGGCGTACCTGCCAGGAACAGTAAGCACAGGCCCTGTCCGTGTTTGCTTTCCTGAGCTCTGGGAAGGCTGCTGACCGAACCGGCCTTTCTGTCCACACCAATCCTCTTTTCCTTAATAGATTTAGAGAGGAGAGGTGAAGAAAAAAAAATAAGAGTGGTTTGGGCTCAGGAAATCCCAGCTTGTGGAAGCGATGGGTTAACCTGAGGTCACTATATAGATCCCAGCTGTGGCAGGGTGTGCGCTGCATTCCAGCTGTGGCTTGCACGCTAAGGGGCTGCAGTGGCAAGCATCTTGAGCCGTTTAATTTTTGTTCCCGCCTCCCCATGGGCCTCTGCTGAAGTTTCAACTCCTCACCTTGGGTTGGATGGACTAGTATCAGGTTACTTTCCCAAGAAGCCAGGAGAATGCTTCCTGTAAAGAAGGTGTGGGGCAGATGGCTGGGGTTTGACAGAGAACAACTTTTCCACTCCTACTTGCCCCGGGCTCTCACTCAATGGGTTCCAGCTGTGCTGCCCATGGCCAAGGATTGTCCCCTACCCTCTGTGGGAGAATGCCCCTCCTCTGCACACCCAGGCATTTGGGAAACATGCACAGAGAACAGGTGGGTTGGGGCCAGATGTGAAAATCTGACTTCAGGCCAGGGGGCCCAGGCGAGCCTAGAGAGCCTATGGGGCAGCCTCGGCGCATCCCAGAAGGCAGGCATGGCCAGAGCAAGCATCTCCTCCTCCGAAGAGAACTCAGGATCAGAAGGTTAGCCCTGTCTCTGGCCTGAGACTTCAAGGAGGCTGTGGCTAACTTCTCAGCCCCCTGGGCCAGAACTGGCATCAAGACTCTGAATCTGAGAAGTGAGTCAGGGTGGCCATTGTTCTTCCTCAGGGTCTTACTGTCTTCTTACATTAAGAAGGTAGGGCTAGGAGACAGCTCTGTAGGTCAAGTGTTTGCCTCACAAGTATGAGGGCCTACGTTCAGTTCCTAGCAGTCACATAAAAGTAAACTGAGGGCGGTAGGGTGTGTTTGGGAGGTGGAGACAGGGAAAACCCTGGGCCTCACGGGCGAGCCAGCCTGGCCAAGTCAGTGAATTCTGGGTCCGCAAGAGCTATTGTCTACAAAAAACAAAATGGATGATGCCTTGTGAGGAGCAATACATAAAGTTGTTGGCTTACATACATGCACACACACACACACACACACACACACACACACACACACACACACACAGTTGGAGCGGATGGTCTGCAGCATCCTTGTCTACTCAGGCCCTTGTGAGATTTCAAAGCTGGCTGTGACCAGCTACCCGCAGAGGGCGTTAACACAGGAACTTTCCTGGGAAGTTCTTGGTTTGCTCTCTTCCCCCAAACGAAGGAGCTGGATGTCAAGGGAGGGATGGCCAGGAGCACTGCTTGCTTTAATCCCGTGAATAAGCGTGTGTGTGTGTGTGTGTGTGTGTGTGTGTGTGTGTGTGTGTGTGTGTGTGTGTGTGTCAAAATGGGCGGACTTGTGTTCGGATTGTTTCTACCCAAGTCCTCCTAATGGTCCAGCTCAGCCTCAACAAAGTACATGTTTCCATCATTTGCCCACAGAAACTGTTGACTGGAGCCCTGTGAATGATTGCAACCCCAAATCTCTCTGAGGTCTCAGTCAGTCACTCATGGGCCGTAGTGTAGCACGAAGGAGTTTCTACCAGAACACAGAGGCCCAACCTGTTCCAGAACCACTGACCGACAGCCGTGAACTGGAGACGTCCCAGTGCCGCTGGCCTCTCGAACATTAGCATCATGTCAAGCCTGCCCTTTGCTCAGGCCCTGGTTTGAAATAGTAGTGGGTTGGGGTCGTCTATCCTTTGGCCTCCGAGAGAACCCCTAGTCCTTGCAGACTACCACACTTCTGCCGACTTGGATGTATGTGAAGACTTTATTTTTATTCTTAAATTACATTTCATGGGGGCCTGGAGGGATGGCTCAGTGGTTAAGAGTGCTGGCTGCTTTTTCAGAGGACCCGGGTTTGATTCCCAGCACCTACAAGGCTACTCATAGGGACTGTAATTCCAGTCCCAAGGAGTATGATGCCCTCTTCTGGTTTCTGTAAGAAGTGCATATATGTGCTGCGCAGATACACTTGCAGGCAAAGCACCCATAAAATCATAAAATAACTTAAAAATCACATCTATTTATTTAGTGTTGGGGAGGAGTGGAGGTGTGCACATGATGGAGTTCATATGTGAAGATCACAGGGCAACTTGTGGAACTCAGATCTCTTCCTCCACCATGTGCGTCCCAGGAATTGAACCCAGAATGTCCAACTTGGCAAAGCAATCACCTCAACCCACTGAGCCATCTCTCCAGCCCCCAAGAGTTTTATAGTACCAGTGAACAGTCCTAAGTACAGTCTTGTACCAAGCACTGTTGAAATCATTCATCCATACATTTATCTGACGTACTCATCAGATTGTTTGGCCAACCATGATCCAGCCAGTGGCTCTGCACCAATGCACAACGCTAAGGTCCTCTGCAGTTCACACTCTAGCTGGGAAGCCATGGCTGGCATGGAGTGGATTGCCAACAGGCAACTTCAGGAGACAGGGGGCCCTGGATGCGTGTCTGACTGAGGGAGGATTCAGAGCCCCAACAGGGAGATAGCCAGCTGGATGGCTACTGAGATCATCAGAATTGAGGCATTCGTGAAGGACAGGCAGGCGATGAGGCAAGGCCTAGCACAGAAGGCAGCATGCAAGGATTCTGGGGTGAGGAGGCCATTTACAACAGAACTGAGAAGTGGGGGGAGTGGAGGAAGCCCTGAGCAGATGAGGTTCTGAATGAATGTGCATTGCTGACGTAGGCACAGCCATGTCAAGGACCCCATAGCCTCAGGCTCAGATAGCAAAGTGTGAGTATTGACAATGTGTGCAGAAAATGGCCACCGTAGACTATATATACCCTTGGATATTCGGCCTGATGTTCTCCCACAGGGACTTCTCCTGCTGAGATTAGGAAGTCCATGTCCTTGGTCCAGCTGTATGTCAAACATGCTGACCCCCTGTTTATCTGGGTGCAATCACCCCACATCCTTGTTCAGCTGTTCAATAACCCCGCCTCTCTCTTCAACTCTGTGTCACACACACACACACACACACACACACACACACACACACACACACACACACACGCTGAGCTTCCAGGATGCTGAGGTTTCCCCCATCAGAGACCTCAGTCCACCCGATCACAGCTTTCCTCTGTGTCTGGCTGTGCCATCTTTTCTCCATTTTCTTACCCCTGGAGTCAGGGCTAGGTCTGTGGAGCCAAGCAGAATGCTGCAGGAAAACTTACAGGAAATCACTAACTTGGCTCCTCAAGGGGTGGATGGAAACCCCAGGCCTCAACTCTTGAGAAAGTAGCCATGGCCACAGCTGGGAAGTGATCAGGACCTGCCGGTGGGGCAGCAGTGCCTGGGACTGTCCCCACAGGGTCACTCATTTGCCCATTTTGAGGGCCTGGCTCCCAGTGTGCCCCACAGATCCTGTGAGCTACCTCTCATCTTCCCATAGAATTCCTCCTCTGCTCACCGTGAACAGAGGTAGCTTGAAATCTATCTGATCCCTACCGGGTACAGAAAGTGGGTATACCCTAGTTTAAACACTACAAACACTTACAAAAGACCTTTGAAAGGGAGGATATAACAACTGGTCCCCATCATGGGAACAAGACATAGGGACCTCATGCCAATCCCAGCCTTTAGGAGTAACTTCCATCTCCAGGAGCAGGCCAATGGCCATACTGCATATCTTCTGTGGGTTTAGTCCTGCTCGCCTTTTGGTGAATAAAAACTCCGCTGGGGATACCCTCCTTAAATTGCCAAATGCCTCAAGGTGTAAAATGAAATACACATAGGAAATTGGGGAAAATTACGAGTCTCCATGTGACTAAATACAAGGTGCCAGATTGTAGGTTTTCTAGCCTGGGGAATAAATTCTCAGGACTCTTTCTTTCTGTATAGATTTTTATGAGGAAGGGATTGCTGGCGTATCAACCATTAGGTCATTGGATCTTAAGAAAACTAGAATTCATTTAGTCAGGAAACAATTTGCCCCATCTGGCTATATTTTATATGTCTTATGAGCCACCTTGACCACTTTCTGGAGACTGGTGGGTATGATTCTCTGTGTATTTTTTTCACTTATCCTCAGACTGTAGAGACAGCACAGGTCTGAGGTAGTTGGGAACAGGATGGCAGATGTGGGCAAGACATCATCCCCAAAGAGTGCCATGGTTGGACTCCCCGACCCCAAATTCTTATGCTGGAATTCGAATTCCCAAGGTGACTAAATTAACAGGTGGGACATTTGGGAGACAGCTAACACAACCCCTCACGGTCCCCCCCAGGGTGCTGCTATTGGTGGTGCTTCGGGGAGGTGGGACCTAAAAGAGATTTTTAGGTCATGGGGGTGGGGGTCCCAAAAGGGGGTGTTCAGTCCTTTCTATCTTCTGTTCCTTGGCCATGAGGTGAGCAGTTTCACCCCACCATATGCTCCAGCCATGGTGTGTTCCTGACAGTGCACACCACAGACTGGAGCCTCCCAACTTCAAGGCAGGGTCCACATTTTCCCTTCTAAGTTGATGCCTGAAGGTGTTCATTTTGGTGACAAAGGCTAACACGGGTGACAATCATTCCAGAAATGTGACACCCTTGTAAAAGAGACCCCAGAGAGGGAACCAGAGGAGGAGACGGCAGTCGTCTCTACAACTCAGGGACTGTGTCTTTACAGGACAGTCAATCTGCCAGGGCTTCTGTCAGGACTTCCCAGGCTCCATAACTGTGAGAAGTAAATTGCTCTTGCATACAAGCAAGCCTGGCAGATGCTGGCAGACAGCCAGGATGATGAAGGTGTGACAAGGCAGAAGGAGCAGTGCTGGGGAGAGGGTTGATGTGA